ATAATAAATATTATTTATGATTTATAGCTGTTAATGAATATTATTTTAAGTTATAAACTAATTTATTTATTTATATTTAATTTAATTTAATTTATATGTTATAATATTAATATTTTCTTAATGTTAATAACATTAATATTAACATTATTAAGTAATAATATTATAATATTATAAATGTATAACATCATAACAATATTCCTTTTTTTCTAATATACTAATTATAACAATTCCCCTCCCCAATAAAAAAATCAAATAATCGATGGTGAAAAAAGACGAAAACTTATCATGCATTTGGTGAATTTACCTTCTTGATTTAAACTTTCACTTAATATAACGAAAAGCTAACAATAACAAATATCATAATAATCGAAGTTTTGAACTAGATGTAGAAATTATTGTATAGTTTTCGTACACATATGATATGAGATATAATGTAAGTTCTACTCACATGTGGACTTTAAAGACCATGCATCTTTATTTCAATCCGCAAGTGTTTTAAGATCTTGTTAAGATCCTTTTAGAGTGGCCTATTACTGCAACACTTATACATGTGAGATCTCATTAAGAGCTATAACATAACTTCTTTTCATTCTGGTTTAGCACAATTACATGTATGAGGATGACACTTAGAAATATGCTATCATCAGTCATTCAATTAGCTTTGTTTCTATCACATTGAGCCTTCTGTCATGGAGCTTCCAATCTAAATATTGGGTTTCCTCTGTGATGGCTACTTTAACCCTGTCCCCTCTAATGATCTTAATATAGAAGCTTTTGCAAGCACTGTTGTTAATGGATATGTAACCTTTTTCTCATAATAAATAAGAAGGGTAAGTGACAATAACTCTTTTATATAATTCATTTAAAGAGTTGTCTTATTCTCATATGACAGTTTTCATCATTACATTTAACACTATTTGCTTTTGTTATAGTTGCTTGCTTATCACAGTCTATTAAAATGGCAGGTACATGAGTATTAATAAAAGGTAAACAAGTTAACAACTTTTAAGCCATTTTGGCTTCAGAAGTAGTAAGATAGTGTTTTATGAATTCTATTTCCAAGGTAGATATAGAGATTAGTGTTTATTTAATAGATTTCTATGATGTTGTGCCATCACTAAATGTGAAGATCACCACTAGTGGCTTTAGTATCAACATTGTCGGCAATCCAACTAGCTTCATAATATGCTTCTAGTACCATAGGAAAACCACCATAAGGAATGTAATAGTTTATTGTGCCTTTTAAGGAATTAAAAATCCTTTCTAATGCTTTTCAATGAGTTTCACTTGGGTAGTATATCTACTCGATTTTTCTACATCATAAGCAATATTAGACCAAAAATACTTTGTTGGATGCATGAGATAACTAATTATTTGAGAATATTTTAATTGTGACACTATATCCCCCAAATTTCTAATAAGATGTAAGTTAAGCGTTATATGGAGTGCCTATGGGATTTTCAACTTAATAATTATTTTTTTTAAGTTTATGAGTGTAATGTGACTAAGGAATAAGAATCCTCTTTATATTTCTACTAATTTTTTACACCTAGTATTACATTGGTTTCACCTAAATCTTTCATAAAAAATTGAGTTGTGTTTGCGCCCGCTTTGTTCTAGTTGAACAACCTTCTTAGCATCCTTTCTTATCATATCTCTCTTTCTAGGTTACCCTCATTTATAAAAATCAAGAAGGAAAGGAAATGCTTAAAGTTTATAAAAACTAATAAGCACAAAGAATAGATATGAAGATATTTTATATAGAAAAATCATCATAATGTAATCCAAAGAAGAGCTGTATAAAATGAATCAGACCATGCTCAACTCTACTAAATATATGAGAAAGGTCCTATAAAAAGACCTTCATGATCAAACCAGAGTAAAGGATAAGTTTATTTTGTTTTTGGTTCAAAGAGACCTTCAACGACGATCTATCTTTGTGATCAAATTACAACCTGGGGACTACTCATGAAAACTGACAATAAAAGGTGTCGTGTTGGCAAGAAGAAGCCCTAAAAGCATGTAGGCAAGGAGATTATTTATGGATCCAATAGGAGAAACCTTTACTTGTGAGGGCAGAACAAGGCCACCAAATCGAGGTTGAATCAACGTAACCTGACGGGCAGTCGCCACTTAGCCGAGTGGGTTTATGAAATGTACCCACTAAGACTCAACAAAGGAAACAAACGTGCCCAAATGAGTTAAGTCAATAGGTAGGTCGAGGAAAGACTAAACAAGTAGATATAGCTTGATCGGGGCTTTGTGAACCTGTCCTCCCAAATTATTGGGACCTTAGATCTACTAAGCCATGATAGTAGTCTACCCAACCTGATTAGAGATCACTTCGTTAGCAACACGTGTTGCATCATATGAAGCAATTCAGTGGACCTAATGTTAAAGGAACGAAATATCTAAATTCCTATGACTACTCAAACTAAAAGATAGGGTAAGCACTATACCTACTAAGGGTATGGAGTGGAAACCTATATGTAAGGAAGAAAAAATGGATGACTAGGCTATAAAGCCAAGCTACCCCACAAATAGCTCACAATCTCGTTCAGATTAGGACTACTATCACCCTGAACGTTCTAGATAAACCTCCTAAGCATATAAAAGACATGCTTGACCGATAAGATTGGGAAGAAAGGAGTACTTCCCTTGGAACATGCAACATGAATATAATTATCTAAGACTTCATAAGTATAGAGGCCCTATTAATATGCAAGGGGGATAAATTAATGCAATTATGATCATTTTAAAATTAACCCTAGAGCCACGCAAAAAAGTATGTGTGGGAAATAAAATTGTTGATTTTCATATTTTATAAAATTTAATCTTAAATTTAATCAGAGTAAATCTTTTTTAATTTAAAATTTTATAACAAAAGGTTTTACCTTAAAGTGCCTAGCATGAGGGCATCCAGACAAACTACATGTATATAATAAAGAGTGAACTTGCATAAGTACAATAAAGTAAACACTCAATATCAAATAATAAATCAAGATGTTTGTAATATTTATTTTTTATTTTTACCTTTATTTGTGTCATTTTTATACTTTTTTCAATATAATTATGGTGTTATATACAATGTGCATATATGAAGGTAACATGGATGAGCATATGGAGCAAAAATGGATGCTAAATCTTAGATTGGTGCCTAGGCGTCCAAGCCTGGCACCCCAGTGCTTCAACCAACCCAAAATTCTCCAGAATATAGAGATGAAATGTGGGTGTCATTATCAAGCACCCAGGCGCCCAAGCATCAGGATGTGCGAGATTACAATTTGTAGTGTTTCATTGGCATTGTTTTACTTCTGATGGTTTAAAACAAAAGGGGAGATGACATTTGCACCAGAGAATATGAGGAGTAGAGAACAACATTAATAGGAGAAAAAGAAGAGCACCGCTCAAAGGAGAAGATCAATTTGAAGAACTCCCTCAATTAAGTTCCATATTTTATCATGTCTTTTTCTTAGGGAGTGTGAGAGAGTGTGTACTATACTTAATAGTGGTGAGATTAGTTGGACTTTATGTTGCTTATACATAGGAGATCAAACCAAGGAGAGTATTCATTATAAGAGGAAGATCGCTGTGAAATTCAAGGATAAGCAGCTCTGGTTTGAGTTTTTTTTACTTGTGTGTACATTTAATTTATGATTTCAATGAATTTTTTGATGTTTTATTCAAACATGTGTAGTAACCAAGTGATTTCATGCTTTGTGTTTTGGATGCGATATAAATTGCATTTTCTCCATGAGAATTTCCATAGAGTTTTTTTAGATTTGATTTAATGTATGTTGGTGTGTCCAACCCCCATTTACTTCTAAACTGGCTATTTAAAAAGTTTGCATCACTTGTGATCTAGGACTTCTAACTTTTGACTATAAGAACGAGTAAATTAACACACGGTAACCTAGTGAAATAAACATATTGCCATTAGGGGAAGCTAAATAGCAGACTAGAAAATTCTTGGGAAACTTTACAATGCTAAATCATCTGAAATATAATACTAGTTTCCAATACTTCTAGTTACCAATACTTCTTAAAACCTCGAGGAGGGTAAGAAGGATTTATCTCTGATTGTCAATGATAATGTGGGGGAACTCATCAGAAGTATATCGAGGATTCACATGATCTGATTCACGAGAGTATGACATTTTGATCTAATTAGAACTCTAAAAATGTTAAAACCTCGAGGAGGGTAAGAAGGATTTATCTCTAGTTGTCAATGAGAATGTGGGGGAACTCATCAGAATTATATCGAGGATTTACATGATCTGATTCACGGGAGTATGACATTTTGATCTAATTAGAACTGTAAAAATGTAGTCAGTTTTTAATTGTTAGGAATTAGACACCTTAAAAAATAAAAAAGACTTCTAACATTTCAGGCTAGACTTAGGGGTTTAGTAAACTAGAACTTCGACCAATTATAAATTTTTAACAAGTTCCTAGTGGGATCAATACACGGGCTCAAATCTAGATATTTACTTGAGCAACATGTATACTTGCATGATAACACCTACTTCACAACAGTTTCAAGCATCAAGTTTTTGGCGCATTGTCGGTGACTTCATTAATTTTATAATTTAAGAAAATTTTAGTTGAAAATCTTGAAGTCTAGATTGAAACTTAGATTATGTGTGCTACGTATGTAAATAACCCTTTAATTTAGAAGATTTACATACATACCACTCAATTATTAGGTATTCACATATCTAGCGCCTAAACTTTAATTTTTACATACATTTCACTTTACCTATGCATGAAAGTTTGTATTTCACTTTTTAAAAGTTAAAATGACTGTAATTTTGAATTTTGATGTGATACAGGGTGGTGTAAGTGGAAGAAGTAAAGTTTCAGTAGTTAGATATGTAAATACATTGGAATTGGGAGGAAATATATATATATATATATACTCTCTGATCCTGAAACTATTTCAAATTGAAGTTTGAGAATCAAACCTCTTCACCATGCAAAACATTTTTCTTTATAGATGACAAAACATGAAAGACATTTTCATGCAAATATATACTAATAACAAACATTTTCATCAAATTTGAATTTACAAACAGATGCTCATGGCTTGCAAGGTGAGATGTACAAATCTACCTGAACTTATTTGTTCAGCAAGGCCAGGCGACTCCTTCGTTCTCTCGATATCTCAAGCAGGTGAGCGATGCCCTCCGTCCATATCTCGTGCTCTCTCTCGGTTTTGCACTCAAACTCTATAACACGGCCTTGTGCGACTCGCAAGCCGAAGTGGCGCCGCCGCTCTACTCCATCAAGTATGTTCCGGCCCGACCACTCCGGCACCTCCCTGCAAACCTCTATCACTACACCTGCAATCAAGTTTCAGCATAGATGCTATTAGAATCATCATCAAGGGGCCTTTTATGTACATTCCACCCAATTCCTATATATTTACACATCTAACACACTTATACTTCACTTTTTACATTTATACAGCCCAAACCTTTCATACCACATCAAAAATACCGTTGCTGTGACTTTGAAAAAGCTAAAGACACATTTTCAAGCATGGTTGAGGCATCATATATGTAAAAAGTTAAATTTTATGTGTGAGATATGTAAGAACATAGGAACTGTTGTATGAATGTAGATATGCAAGACAGTATGCAACATTTAAAATGGACTTCTTACTCCTTTTATTCTTTGTGATTGTTCCAGCAATGTGCTTGCTTTTCATCTTTAATATCACCTTTTTACACAATTAAAAAACAAAATATTACAAATATGTGTGAGAAAATCTTCTCCAAGAACATAGTATGGGTTTATATTTGTATAAGTTGAAAAGAGAGAGTTACCTGACCCATCTTACTGATGTAAACTGAGACAATTTTCCAGTGAAGATTACCTGAAAGAAAAGCAGCCATGATGAACTCATCTGAAACTTGGGGGTAAGTTTGTAAGATTTAGAGTCTGTTTGGGGCAGCTGCAGCTGTTTGAAGAAGCAACTGTGAAGCTGCTGAAGAAGAAGATATTGTACAAAAGCTGCAGTGACTATTACAAAATAATTTTTTTTTTAAAATGTCTAACTGCAGCTTTCTAACCCCCACTGTCTGACCACCACTGCAGATAGCCAGATATGATGGGAAAACACATCTTTTAGTTGCAGCTTTTTGAGAACGCAGGTAAAATGCAGTTTTGCTAAACAAGAAAAATTGCGGTGCAACACCACACAACAATCTCACCGCAGCCCCACGCACCCTTAGATAGATTTTATGCAAAAAGCCGTCATATATATATTTTTTATGCCACATATTTTCCTTACATTTGTTTTCAGTTTGTTTCGTTTCGCAACAAATTTGAGTTGGATTTAACTTAAATCTTACAAGAGAGAAAAAAATGGTAAATTTTAAATCATGAATTTAGTAAAATTTAGTTTCTTCACACTTGCTTCCCAGTTTTGTCTTAAATATTGAATTTACTAAATTATTGTGTTGGCACCAGAATTTAGTAAATCCAAATTTGCATAATTTAGTAAGAGTCTGTTTGGGGCAGTTGCAGCAGTTTAAAGAAGATGTTGTAAAGTTGTTATTCAAAAAACTACGATGATTATTATAATTTTTTTAACAAAAAGTTAGGCCACAGCTTTCTAGCAGTCATTGCACTCAGACAGATCAGATTACAAAATACAGCTTTCCACCGCAGTTTTTTAAAAAATTAGATAAAACAAAGTTTTGCCAAATAACAAAAAGTGTGGTGCAACACTGCACCGTCACCACACTGTTGCCCCAAACGCACCCTAAATCCATTACCAAACAACCCCTAAGCTAAAGCCTGAATTTGGTGAACCTTGCGTAAGATGGAAATAAGGGGTTGTTTAGTTACAAATATAACTTAGCAAATCTTGAGAGGATTAAAGCAAGAAAATTGTTTGGTATGATAATTGTTAAATCTTACTAAATTCAGAAATTTTTTTTTGTCTATTTATGTCATGATTTAAGATTTGTGAGGAGAAAATTCTTATTTTATTAAATCTTGAAATAAAATAACTAGATTTAAACCTTCCAAAATCCTCCTTTCCAAGATTTAAGCTAAATAACAAATCTATGAGGAATTTACATACATATAACCCAAGTCTTATGTGTTTACATATCTAACTCCTAAACTTTACTTTTTACATTTATACCGCCCAAATCTTTCATATCATATAAAAAATAACACCATTTTAAGTTTTAAAAACTGAAATACATCTTTTAATGCATCGAAAAGGTGGCATATATATAAAATTAAATTTCAGTGTTATATATATGCAAATACATAGGAATTGAATGGTCTGTATGTAAATCTTACTTCTCCATTTAAAAACTATCTATCAAACAGTTTATTGTGATTTAACTCTGTATGTAAATCTTACTTCTCCATTTAAAAACTATCTATCAAACAGTTAACTGTGATTTAACTAGATTTAACACTCATCATTCCAAACACTCCTTCAAAATTTAATGCAATTCTCCCAAAAGTTACTAAATTTGGAATAACATGATTCTCTAAATGGCCAAACAACCCCTGAATGAATTTGAGAAATTATATTTTTCACCAAATTTTATATAAAAAATTACTGAGTTACCTTTCCTGGTTCTTTTGAGCAGCTCGGCACCTCGGCTGAGAACTTCCTGGCTGCAGATGCCTAAGAAGTTCTCCTTATAGTTCGATCCCACACCACCATTGCCATCTTTGGCAGCCGTCGCAGGGCTGTTAAGCTCGTGCTGTTGCCGGAGGTGGTGGCCGAACCGAGAGCTGACTCCACCTTTCTCTTCAGGAATCACTGCTGCAATGTTCCACACCTCTCTTAAAGACCTTGCCTTGAGTGTTGCTGCCCCTCTCAATGCTGTTAAGCAAGAAGGTAACAAATTGAATTATTACAAATAGCAAGACGATAAGGTTTGCTTAAGCAAGAAGGTAACAAATTGAATTATTACAAATTCATTTTCAATAAGGTTTGTCTTGCTATTACAATAATTTTCAGATGATTTATGTAAATATCAGTCATTAAGAAAAAGAAAATATGAAAGCAGAGTTAAGTGTATGCTTATAACAGTGAATAAAAGAACAATTTTGATTTTGCTATATTGAATTGTAAGACTGGGATTAGTGATCTGCAACTTTATAGTTTGGAAGATTCACATAAATACCACTCAATTCCTATGTATTCACATATTTAATAGCTAAACTTTAACTTTTACAAACATGCAACCTTATGTATGTATGAAGAAATGTATTTCACTGACAAAAAGGTAAAATAATGATATTTTATATGTGATAGAAAAGATTTATGTGGTATATATAAATTGAGTGATGTGCATATTTCTTTATTGGAAGCTTTGCAATACAAACCATTCAATGCCCATATATTTACATATCCTATTCCAAAATTTCAAATTTTACATACAAACCACTTTACTGAAAGCTTTAGAGGGGGCTTAGGAGCAACACTGGAAGCGACCAGTTGGAACTAGCACTTGGTACCAAGCGCCCCAGCGCCAGTGGGGCGCGCCTAGGCGCTCAGCCAAATGCTCCAAGCCCCAAGCGCGTGGAAAGCAACACCCAGGAGGGGCAGAACAACGCACAAGAGCACATTTTCAGCATCCCGGAAACAGAACGTCTTTAAGGAAACAGAGCATCTGAAAACTCAGTGTTAGACAGGTGATCCAACACCAGAAACACTTGAAGCAGTCTAGGCATTCAAGTCCTCGATGAGGAATTTGGAGAACTCTCTCGACAATGCGCAAGTGAGTAGCGTGAAGCCGTGTATGCGAGTTGTGAGTAGATTTATGCACATTTCTCTTATGGGATCAAGATAAGAGGAGCATTCGCGAGTTCCAATATTGTAAAAAGGATTTGAGTGTGGTCAATACATTTCACCTAGTTTCACAGTAAATTTTCTGGTGTGGTGTGGCGTCATTTTCCTCTGTTCTTAGGTGTTTCCACTTTAAATCAAAATGTTCAATTTTCTTGCAAATGTTCGCTTCAGATCTCTCGAATCAGTATTTCTCCACAATTTATGTATTACATATATAAATATAAGTAAATTCGCTGGTATATAAAAAATGTGTATTTCAGTGGTCAAGATTGGACACCAAACACAAATTTGCCTCAGGCGTCTGTACATAATAAGAGCACCTATCACACTATGTTCTGTATCAAACCCTGAACTCTAGTTCTTATGATAGCACAAATTCTATAATTTCAGGCGTTCAATTCATATCTGCACATAAACTACACAAAATAAACCCTGAAACTTCACAAAACTTACCAGTAGCTGCAGCCGCCGTCAAAGTGACAATATCGCCGGAATCACGAACCCTAACAGCTGATCCAACGGCGGCGGAAAGTTGTTCGCGGTCGGCTCCGGCGGCCTTCGCCGCCTATATATATATACATACCCCTCAATTCTTATGGATTTACACATCTTAAACCTAAACTTTAATTTTTACATATGTGCCACCCAACCTATGCATGAAAAGGTGTATTTTACATTTTTCAAGTTAAAATGGTGGTCATTTTGATGTGACATGAAAGATTTGGGTGGTATAAATCTGAAAAACTTAATTTCACTTTTTAGAAGTTAAAATAGTGGTTTTTTTATGTGATATGAAAGATTTGAGTGGTATAAATGTAAAAGTTGAAGTATAGTTGTTAGATATGTAAATACATAAGAATTGGATGCTATGTCTTTTATAAAATTCCTGACTTATAGGAGAATGTTCGAGTGAAATCTATTGATTTGATGAAACCAGGTGATTCATGTGTAGCTCACCATTAATCCTATAATCAAAAACCCCGCGCACACCTGTTTCTTCGAAAACCTAGCAATGTGTCTCTTGCTCTGGCAATTTTCATTTTGCTTTGTGTTATGTGTTATGTGCTATGTGCTATCTTCTTCTTCTTACTTATATTTAGGTTAGGTATTCTTCTTTGCTGTTTTTTTGTTCGTGTTTTTAGTTCTAGCGTTGAGCCACTCTTCCCTCATGGGTGAGGAGCAACCTAGACTTCCTGGATTTAGATTTCTCAATGTAACAACCTAGCCATATTAAACAAGTTTACAGTGTTGGTTTGATAAATTCTAACAAAATATCACTGATATTACTGGTGAGCTTGTGGATGTAGGTATTGATCAAAATAATATTCTTGAAGACCCAATCATTTATCTTCTAAGGAAGCTACCTTAATTAAAGAGTAGATTAGTGTAACTTGTGGACTAGCTAACATCCTAACTCATTCTAAACCATGTAAAATTGTTAAGTATGATGCATCTTTACCTCAAGTTTTTTTATGGGTGGGTGTGTTTGCGCTCCTTTTTATTTTGGAGCAAATCTCGCTCTACATTTGCCTTTTTAAATCTTCCCTTTTGAAACGCCTCCACCTATAAAGAGTGGAGTGAGAAAGGAAAAGATGAAAGTGACAAACATAGATAAAGTCAAACAAAAAGTATAAATGCAATGATATTCATACAAAAAAATCCTTGCAAAAAAATTTTGAGAAAAATAGTCAAAAAAGGAAATTAGATCATGCTCAACCTAATAAAACATACAAGGAGTGCCTTATATAAAGTCCCTTATATCCGAACCAGAAATACTAAGTCAGCAAGTAGTCGGGGAAAAACTTAGACAGATAGAGATAGCTTGGGCGGGGTTCTTTGGACCCTACCTTTCAGACTAGTGGGATCATAAGTTTACTAAGTCGTGAATGTAGTCAACCCAGCCTGGCTAGGAATCACTTTGTCAGTAACCGATGTGTTGTATCATTTGAGGCGATTTAGTAAATCTAAAGTCAAAGGAACAAAACATCTAGATTCCTATGAATCTATCTGAATTAATAGGTAGAAGAGGGATTATACCTGCCAAGGATATGAATTAGAAACCTACGTAGAAAGAATGAGAAATGGACGACCTAGCTACAAAGCTAAGCTGCCTCATAAAGGGCTTATAATCCCGCATGGATCAAAAAAGCCTCTAACACCCAAATTCGTACTATATACATCGAAGCATATAAAATATATGATTGGTCTGTAGGGTGGAGAAGCAAGGATACTTCACCTTGAGACATGCAATATGAATTTAGTAGTCTAAAGATTATCCCTAAGCATGGAGGTCTTATTATATGACTTGAGTTAAGGTTATGCAAATTTAACTATTTTTAAAACCGGTTGGAGGGCCATGCAGAAATGTGAAATGTGCAATTTTTAAAATTGATATATTTTATGCCAAAATTTTAATTAGAATAAATCTTCTAAATTTAAAGATTAAAAAAAGGTTTTTATTTTAGTAGCCTAATAAAGAGTGATAACATGTAAAAGTAGTCAAGTAAACACTCCAATATGAAAAAATAATGCATAAGCTGGGTGTCAATGAGTCCCGCCGACGCCACCGCCCCCTCCGTCTCGTCTCTACCGAACTCTCCTGCCGCTGCAGCAGTTCCGACTGCCACCGCCGCCACTGCAGAGGCAACTCCGGCCAACGAGATTGCTGCGTGTAAATCTGCGTTATGCGAACGCGCCTCTTCTTTCTTTCTTCCTCGCCGTTCTTTCAGCCATTTCCCCACCGTTCCTCCGCCGCCGGCTGGCCGGAGCTGTGGGGGCTTCTTTGGGGATGGTGGTGTTTGGATGTGCTGTAGAAAATGTTCACATGAATAGATTTATGAAGTGGAATTTGAAATTTGGTGAAAAAAATTAGGAAAGATGTGTTTTTTACGAAATTTTACACATAGCACCCAAAAAATTTATCCATTTACATGTCTCTCCCCCAAACTTTAATTTTTTATTTTATAAGAATCTTTTCCTATGTATGATGCATAAAAAAGGTTGCTTTAATTGTAAAAATCAAATTTTGAGGGAGAGATATGTAAATACATAAGAATTGGATGCTATGTATGTATATTCCCCTTTTTCTTTAATGTTTGGGAAAGAAAAACAATTTACACACCAAATAATATAAATTTCCTTTTTCTCATGATTTTTGTTGTTTCCAAAAAGATTTATATGATGGGAGTTAACTTTGTACAATAAAATCAACTTTTAGGGTTTATTTAGTGAAAAAATATTATGTATGGATAAGATAAGTGCTGATTTGGCGCTATTGTGGTAAAATGTCAGTATAATAACTTTGAACGTCATCAATTTACACATGCAGATTCTGCAAGTAATAGTCGCTCCTAATTGGGATGGCTGCAGCATTTTAAAAAACTGATTGTAAAACTGTGATGGAGAAAAATCTTCTTAAAAAGTTGCAGTGAGAATTACAAGTAAATATTTTTTTTCAAAAAGCAAACATTTAACAGATTATGTTGAAAAAAACAGGTTCCCACCAAAAAATTCTATAAAACAACATGAAAACAAAACTATGACGGTAACTAAAATGAAAAGCATACAAATTTGTCCCAAACAGACCCTATGATAAATATAGGATCACTTGAAAAAAATTAATAATGAATTTTCAACTATCTCCATTATTATTAGTAAAAATTTAATTTTGCATTTATATCACTCTCAAAATGTGTTTTCACTTTTTAAAAATTAAAAAAAATAGTAATTTTGATGTGATATGAAAGATTTGATCACTATAAACGTAAATATGGAAGTTTAGATTCCAAATAAAAATTACATCTTTGAACTTTAGGGTCCGTTTGGGGTAGCTTGTGCGTTTCAGGATAAGCTGCTTATCCATAAACGCGGCCCGCGGGCCGGCCCCCGACCCGTTTCAGGATAAGCTGCTTATCCAGAAACGCGGCCCGTGGGCCGGCCCCCGACTCGCGGCCTGCGTTTAGCGTAAAAACTCAAATATAGTTTCGGATAAATTGGCGAAACGCGCGAACCAAACGGTACGTCGGCGTTTTGAAAAACGCCGCCCGCATTTATAAGCTGCCCCAAACGGACCCTTACTCATATGTCTAGTAAGACTAATCTTATATTTGATTTACAAACAAGATCAAATTCTAATATGAAATATATTAAATTGTTAAAGATAGGATCACATTTATAAATTAATCCCACCATAATCCAAAGTTTTGGATTACATTGAATTGATCTTTTGGAGCATATAGACTTTTTTGTAATTTTCAATTTACTAATTGGGATTATTTTTTTAGAAAATACATTTTAATTATAAAAAGAATTATTCAATCAAAAATGGACTAAATGACAATAATGTTCTCATGTCATGCTCCTTTCCATTCACTTGTTTTAGTGCAGTTGAGTACAGCTGTGTGGAAAAATAAATAGTTTTTTTATTATAAAATAAAATATTTACATACATATCCTACAATTCTTATAAATTTCCATCATATTTACATTTATAATATTTTACACTCATATATATATGCATGAAAAGATAAAATATGCATTTTATATGTGTATCTGTATATTTTCTTTTAAGAATAGTCAGAAGTTATGATACGAGCCCCCAACCACTATCATGTGTCTAACTATTTGAGGAATGCCCTTACTATCGTCAAGGAGGATTCAAACCCGTGACCTAAAGGGACTTACGACCTTCAAAAAGACTGCTCTACCGACATGCCACAACTGACGACATGTGTGTGTGTATGTATATACATATGTATATGTATGTATGAAAATTTAGAGGTTAGATATGTAAATATAAAATGTATGTAGATTCCAGCGAAATATATATATATATA